AGAGTTTAGGTCATCCATAATGAAACAAGCTAGAGTGCAAACAGTTGAAGAAGAAGTCAGAGACTAACTTCCTTACAGAGACGTAAATACGTCACATCCAGGAGTTCTACGATGCTAAGTGCTCAAAGTGTTTCAAGGATTTATAACACATGAAATTCATTATTACAGTTCCATACTATTGCATACACCTGAAATAACCCAAGGAAAGGGAGTGAAATGTGAGCTATGACACTAAAAATATCGTTTAATTTGTAGTTTTTGCACAAAGACCATTTGGTCAGTCTGTACTTGATGTGACTTTCTTCATAGGTAAATAATTATGAGCAAACCAAAGGCGTTCACGCCTTGTGCAAACATACCTTATCAACATGGTGAATCTGAAGGGCTAATAAGACTGGGATCGATAATAAAGATGTCTTCGCAGCTTTTAAGTCAAAATTGACTGCGAGCACGTTGCTACCGTGACTCTGTGACTTATATACGTTGTCTGCCGACGGGATTCATCAAAAGAATTGCTCACAAGGGTGTCATGGCCCAATTCCTGCCTGTCAGTTCTTTATGGTTAGCAACCTTTCGTATATAGATATTCCGTAACTAAACTGGGTCTCGGGAGAAAACAGCTCTCAGTCTTCTCATTGTCTGCTGATTAGTGGATTATGTTTGCTGCTCACCTTGCCGGCTATCACAAGAACTCATTGCGCGGCCATATTAACCTTCCTGGATCAATTGGTCGATATGGGCTCTGTGTCGCTGAAATCGATTTTAACTGGGCCACTTTTCGTTTGCAGTAAATATCAGTACATATTAATGTGAATGAATATATAAGCTGAATATAGTATTCTGCTGTTATTAGAAGCCTTCACCGTCTCTTTTTCTCTCATACGACTTACCACAGGTGTGCATGTTTCCTAACAACAGTCGTCAGAACCGTTCGCTTTCGTGGACATCTAGAAGGAGCATTTGGAACGTGCGATTTCAGAAAGCTGCAAAAGTAGGAATTCCCTTAGTACTGTTTGTCCTGTTTATTTGGGCATCACCCCTTGGCATCTACACAAGAAATCCAGTGGGAACTTTTGAAGAACGAAATTCGGCCCTGGAAAGGTTAGCAAACTTCACCCAATGGCCACACGAAGACGGGATGCTAATCAGTGAAACGGACAATGAGTTACAATGCAAAAACGAAACTAGTTTAATTTCGGCCTTCAAAACATCGACGATACGGTACCGAATGGAAGCACGCCTAATCAATGCAAGTGTCAGAGTCTAATGCTTCTCTATCGTAGGCTTTTTCTGTTCAGAGTATGTAAACCAATTAACGAACTATTTGAATGAGATGTGATGAACTTTGATCCTGGGATGAATCGACCGCCTGTGTGTTTTGCTCATGATAAACAAAATCTTCATTGGATAAAGTGTGTTGTCATTGATACCATGCGCCATATCTTTCACACGAAACAATCAGCGAGCCTTACCATCGTGAAGCCCTGTTATGTACAAAGCGGTCGACTTCAACTCCCATAGAAACTGCGGTTCCTTCTGTAGCTTGTGGGGTTCCCTGATATGATGGAGCTACTGTGAGTGGATCAAATCTAATAAAACTAAAAGATCATATCAGTGTGAGTTCATGCCTTGTTGCCTTTCACCAAACCACCCTAACCGGATGCTATCAGGCCTACGCCGTTCCATAATAGAGTGTTTGCTGTACCTCATTGAGCGGTTTATCAAAGGCACAAGTTGTTCTGACTGGACTGACGATCTCCCCACGATCGAAAACTTCTACGATAAAAATACCATCAAGGAGGCAGTAATGACAGAAATATAGTCAAACCAAAAGTTTTGATTCCACGGCGTTGCCTGCACATCACGGTCCTATTATTCACCTTTTCAGTAAAGCCTAACTAGGGAATCAGACGAATAGAGTTTAGTCCTCAGTTCGATCTTCAGTGAATTCAGCATGCAACGTCTCTGATGAAATCATCATCTGCATGTCCCAGGTAATGTAGTGTGACACTGAGTGACTGATGGACATCAGCTTGAAGACCTTGATTCCAGGCCCATCAGTTAAGTTTCTTTTAAGGGGTAGAACCTGAAGGAGGGAAAAGCAAGTTTAGCTCCATCCGGTACAAGGACTGATCACTCCCTCAGAAAACTCAACTCATTCGAAGCGTATATGATACAAAAAGGCCATACCAGTCTTAGGCTGACCCTTCGCCTGCAGCTCTAAGTTGTACC